CACCTGTCCCCGATGATATCAAAAATTTTGATCTGGATGAGTTAGAGGTTTTAGCACGCTTTTTTTTTTTTATTTAGCCTACATATTAAATCGACCTTTGGATTAATTTAGTCATTCTTATTAGACTCAGAAGGGCTTATTGCAAGTTGGCAAAGGTCTTCAATTTTGTCATAATGATGCCAAAATTGTTCACTCGAATCTGGTTCCAGAAGCCATATTTGTAAACGTTAAGGTAGGTTATTTAAAGGTAGTTTATTAAAAAATTTATTATCTTATTAAAAAATTTATTGATCTAATTTTATTGTGGTTTCCTTTATTAGGGCGATTGGAAAATTGGAGGGTACTTAATTTATTCTCTGGATTATATGAATTAGCTTTGCTTATTTGAAAATTTTAAATCATATTATTATAATTTATATAGTTTTGGATTCAGCACTTTTCTCAATAATCCGGATGCAAAACCAGAATATGAATATCCTGATTTTGATTCACGGATACCGAGCTATGCTCAAAAAAATTACGATTATATGGGTAAAAAATCATTAATTCTTGATAAATTTGTAACTTCTGATTTCTTTAGTGAATGCATATTAAAAAAGTTTTCTTTATTCTTGTGCAGCTCCAGAGTATGTGCTAGATGAGTCACTTGAGTTTGCAAATGATATGTATGCACTTGGTTGTTTGATATATACAGTACACAGCCATGGAAGACCTCCTGCAGAAAATCGTAACAGTATACATAATTATCGCAAGAACATTGAAAGGTTATCATCGACTAAGTATGACCATCTTCCTTATCATCTTCATGGTAACCTTTAAACAACTCTTTTTGGTTGTTTTTCTCTTCTTTTTTCATTTTCTTTCTATTTGTTTTTATTTTAGTTTTTTAGTCAATTTATTTTTCGTCATTTAAATACTAACGTTAAGTTTATTATTATTTTTATTATTAAGAGGTCATGTATCATTTGATAACTCGCTATCCATCACAGAGAATGTCTGCTACCGAATTCCAAGCTAGCAAATATTTTGATAATGTTCTTGTTTCTACTGTCAAGTTTTTTGAAAGTTTCCCTGAGAAATCC